TCGGCATCGTATCTCATGAATTGCCTGAGAAAGATTTTGACGTTCATCTTAACCACAACATGTAATCACTTATAGTGGCAACGTCTATAGCCACCTAATATGTGCAACGTTTACGTATGTCCCTCCTTCCTCATTCTGCATCTGCGATGGTACAAGTCGGCTTGATCTACGAGTAGAGAAGACCGAGCGCACCCAACGCATGTTTCGAGTAGTCCCATAACGAGCATGTCGTGAAGTCTACATCTACAAGACTACCCCTGCTTGGCAAAAGCAGTGACTGCCTCATGACCGAATTCAATTCAACACCGTGTCCACATTTGCTCCCACAGCATTCTACTACTGGCTTATCTCCCACGCTAACTACACCACTCCGGAAAGCTGTCTAAGGTGTCTTATTCCAGCCCTCGCTCTCTTGCTCGTGCTCCTCCATCGTTTCTACAGCCAACTAGCTTTGAACACCATTTGGTCACTACAATTAGAACACATTCTTCTGCAGTGTATCTCTTCTATCGATATCAGGGCAGCTCACATAGTGTGACTTGTTTAGGCGGAGTCGGATTATTTCAGCATTATATTATAACTGACCTGATTTGTCTGAGGTCTATTGTCCGAGGCCAACAATCCATACTCCAATGCCTCATCCTTACCGGCATCGAGAGAGGCTGCCCGCTCTGTTGCCAGCTGATAACAAGCTTGTAGACTACGCCGATTGGGCCATGGCCGAGTTGGCTTGTCTTGACGCGATGGGCAATGGTTAGGAGATGCAGAAGTACGCCGTGGAGAGCCCGATGTATCGGAGCTCAGACGACGAGGCGACTTAGGAAGCCTTGATTGTGGCGATGTAGATCGTGATCGTGAGGATGAAATATGGCCAGTGGTGGCCGATAAGTGGGATACAGATACACTGGGTGTTTGAACATCGACGGATGATTGTGGGTCAGCTCGCCATCCTGGGTATCGGGGTCGATAGATAGAAATCGTCCCTTCATTTCGATTTTGAGTATCAGCGCCACATGCAGTTTGATTTTGACGACGGCCTCTTCCATGTTGCTGATAATGTGGCTGATGAGAATGGTTAGGCTGAAACGATGGATGCGACTTCAATGGACTTGAGAGGTATCGACGGTTTCTGTTTATGTGAGCATGTTGATGGCTGTAGTGCTCCCGACTACGATAGGCCGGAATCATTGGTCCAGACCATTCCACGTCACAATCTTCCTCCAGCGTCTCTCCCTTCTCCCTTAAATCATCTGGAACTGGATGATGGCGTCTTTCGCAATGATCCCTTCCCGAGCCACCCCATCGAACCCTCCCAGATGGCTGTTTGCGGACATGGACACGGTCTTCTGATTGCCGAAACCCAGAGTCTGCATGAAATGACCGTTCAACACATAGAATTGCTTCATCAGCGGGTGGAGAGCCAGACAGCCGACGCCTAGAGGGACGGGGATGATTATGATGAGTATTTTCTGAATATTGAGTGTGACAGAAGGGCTGGTGACGCTGTCGGCCACTTTTAGGTCCAGAGGCATAGTAATCTTGAGTCCAAGTATACCAGGCACTCGACTCTTGGTTGACCGGACGTGCCTCGGCCTCTTCATCTGTTTCATTCCAGCCTATATTCACAGATGGTGTCGGCCTATCACGCGGTTCTCTAGGCTGGCTGCTCATCGCCTGTTGCCCGCGCATTTTTCGGTGGTCTGGGCAAATATTTCGCTGCCGGCGATGTGACTGGGATGGCTGACGACGGACGTAGTGACGAGAATAGTCTGGTGAAAATTGGTATTGATTCTGGACGGACTTGACATGGTAAAAGCGACTCGCCTGGTTTAAGTGATATTGCTGTTGATGATGGTGATATTGATGGTGGTGATGCCAAGCAACAGGCCGGCTCCAAGCGGAGGTAACATGAGCCATTGCCACAGATCGGAAGGAAAGGCGAGGCAAGGCGAGTGAATGGCTACCGTGAAGAGTTGATGAAAAAGGCGGGTCTTGTTCTCGGCAGGCCAAATGAGGATCAGGACGAGATGAAATTGTGCGGATTTCTTTAGTAGAAGCGCATTTGGTTGGTGGCAAATGCAAGCGCATACGGAAATCAAGAGCGATATGATGACTATGATCTGCTAGAAAACAGGCAAAATCCACAAGAGAGATACAGCGGTTTGCGGCCTGATTGAAAAGATGAGAAATGCTATAGATAAAAGTTTAATATTTACTTCGATATACATGCATATATAAAAATAGGAATAATATGACAGTTGAGAATAAATTTAATCCCAAAATAAGTAGAATTGACGAGTACACTCAAGAACTTTAATCAATGAAGTAACATCAAAATGATAAAATGGTGAGACCACGAATTTATTGCATATACTATTTTTTCGCAATTTGGTATTAGGTCGGATAAATGATATGTGTAGTGCTTGGTACTGTTACTTCTGTTTTCTCTATGAAACTGATCGTATGCCATGTAGATTATCAGACGTTTAGCCTACATTAACTTCCAAGTCGCCAAGTCGGCTAGGCAAAAGTGTTAATAGGACCTATCGCACGAAGCAAAATTGCGCAATGCATTAAAAAGCCTATGAAACATAGTCAGTGACTTGACGTATGATAACACAGCAAGTAACAGATGAAGTATTTGATGTAATGTAGCCTGTTTAGTTTATCATATGAAAGTAACAATGTCTACCCACTACGTCTAATATTCTTCATTTAAGAATCTATTGGTCTATTTAGATCAATTATTAGGATTGGTCTTACATACGTTCCTGCATGCATATCCTGCTTCTTTTTCCTAGCACCACATCTAGAACCTGTCTTTTAGCTTTACTTTAATGACAGGATGAAGGACGGCTAATAAATTCACCTAAATTTTAATGCCTCTTTTCATGTTCGTAGTTCATGTGAGTATATCACGACAGCTAATCCGTCTTTCTGATCTTCCGATAAGGACTAACAATTGGTGTGACATGTCAGGACTCGGTGATAATAGCTGTGAGTGTCCAGGCCCAATTAGTATATATGTTAAGCCAAATAGTTAGCAAATGATACGACTCTAATTTGACGAGTTTTATCTCGGCACATGTACTGAAACCTGATTAAAAGACAAAAAACCAAAATAATATGGCGACAAAGTTATATGAATGTCAGAAGGGATAGGAAAACCATATAAGATATATGTACCCTATTTCGTTTAAGATGATACATAATAAGTAGTTGAATTTTTCCACGATGATATGAGTAGATATGACGGTTCCATTGTATTTCACATAGCCGTGCTTTCCCAAAAGGTATTCTCATTCCGGGTGGATTGCAGATTTGATTTCATCTAAATTTTACCAGCAACCTCAGCGGGACTAGAAACATGACGATGTGGAGTATAATCTTGAAACGTTAACCACTAAGTCAAATTGCCACGAGTGTCCTTAGGTCAGAGAACAGATGTGAATTTCAAGGTAGGCCAGATATTTTCCCAACAATATTCTTTGATGGAAGTTTCGATTAGGCAAAGTTATATTTGCTATAACAATTGACTACATTACTTATTTTTCGTTTATAAGTAGGATGTCCAAACTACCAGTAAATAAGTTATGTGAGATGTAGCCCTACTCATTAACGAAAAATAAGCAATGAAGTCGATTCGAAGGTATTAAGACCAAGATGGTGTGTGCTTTTGTGTGGTCACAGTCTCCTTTCGTTGTATAGAGGTTGTTTAACCTTATTTTCGCAACTTAGTAATATTGGGAGGAAGACTTAGAGGAACGCATCTAGTTTCTGAGTCAGTCTCATCGTCAAGCCTTTGCTACATGACCACGTCTATGGTAAAAGCTACTGTCAGCCAACTATATACAGTCTCCACCGCGTCTATCCTGTTTCTAATACCAAGTCTATGACTTGCTATGCCTTAGTCTCTTGTGTGCTAGCCAACAAATGTTGTGATACTGCTTGCTTTGATTAGGTTCAATGTTGAATAATGACGTTTGTGGGTTGGCACACAAGAGACTAGGGCATAATAACTCATAGACTTGGTATTACGGATAGAAACAGAATAGGCCCGGTGGAGACTAGATCTAGTTGGCTAACAACAGTCTTAATTCAAGGATCACGTCTATGATCAAACACATCTATTGTTAGCTAAATAGCTCTAGTCTCCATCGCGTCTTTCCTGTATCTATATGTAATACCATGTATATCACTTTCTATATCCTAGTCTCTTGTGTGCCAACCCAGAATTGTCGTGGTGGGGTCGTAACTTTTGGTGAGTTTCGATTTATAATCCATGTACACAAACATTTCAGATGAGAAAGCAGTAAGCGCCTTGCTTGAGATATTGGAGCGAGAAGAGGATATCCTGGAGGCAAAACAGATACGGAAGGAATCGTTAACACGACTGATCAACCTGACAGTAAAGATAACATATTTTACATTTAACGGCAGTATCTACGAGCAAATATTTGGACTACCGATAGGATCTCCACTCTCACTTTTTTGGCAAAAGTGTACATAGACAATTTGGAAAAGGAATTCGAGAAGTCACCACTGCAACCAAGAGTGCATATGCGATATTTGGATGACTACTTTGAACTTTGGTCACATGGTAAGGAAAATTTAAATAAACTCCTCAATTTTATTGATCAACTTGATGAAAGAATTAAATTCACAATGGAGGTGGAGGAGGATGAACGACTACCCTTTCTGGATATTGAAATCATGCACTCCAAAGGGACACTCATGAGGAGACTAAACATAAAGGATTCATATGCGGAAATAATCCTTAATTTTCAGTCTCACCATAACTACAGACTAAAGATTGGAATACTGAGGGGTTTGATCATCAGAAGCTTACGACTGACGGAAATAGGAAGTGATAAACATGGTATTATGGATAGAAACAGGATAGACGTAGTAGAGACTAAGGCGATTTGGTTAACAATAGACATGTTTGATCATAGATGTGATTCTTGAATCACGACTATCGCTAGCCAACTAGTACTAGCTTTCACTACTTTTATTCTTTTTATTTCTATAATATCAAGTCTATGATTTCATATACCTTAGTCTCTTGTGTGCCACCTCACAAAAGTTGTGATTCTACATTGAACCTAATCAAAGCAAGCAGTACCACAACCTTTGTGGGTTAGCAAACAAGAGACTAAGGCATAGGAAGTCATAGACTTGGTATTAGGGATAGAGACAGAATAGGTCCGGCGGGGACTGGGGCTAGTTGGCTGACAATAGGCCTGTTTTACCAGAGGTGTTGTCCATATAGCATAAGCTTGACGATGAGACTAACTCAGAGGCTTGAGCCTCGAATTAGTCACCCAGACAAGGTGAGGGCGAATAACGCCTCGAGTAGCACAGATGGGGTGGGAGAGGTCAAGTGAAATACGTGAACCAGGGAGAAAGCAGACGGATATTACGGGCAAGAAAGACTGTAATAAGACCTAAAAGAGGACGGCGTAACAATCAACATTCCCAGGACAAGGGTAAAGGAGGTGAGAACGACAGTGTGGAATGTGAAGGGTTTTTATAAATGCCGCTCAAAGGAGCACACCACACGTCGAAATAAGCACGGTAAAAACGTTAACAGTGAAGGCGTGATAGGAGGATAAATGAAATGTCAATAACCCAGAGCAGGAGAGAGACCACAACTGTTTAGCACACGTTTGGTCAAAGGATCGGCTTCACTTGTCTCTTTTACGAGTTGTTTTGTGGTGCTAAGAATAGCGAGACTCATTGACGATGCCGACTATGATGCCGGCGAAACGTCTGGGAATATACCACGTCCACGGTCCGACTTTGCAAATGATCATGCATAAAATGGACTCCGGACTAGGTTCGTTCCTCTAACTGTTT